GTTCCGCGAGTTAAATATTTTCACTGTAAAGCTTATTAAAACTAGGCACAGCTGTAAGTCTTGGAAAGCGGTGTAATAAATTTTACACTATAGCATTGCCAGGCCCTTAGTATCTCTCACAGTTGTATTCATGTCGATCTCTCACTTTCAGCTATGTGAATTCCAGCAGAGTTGGGTCAAGGTGGCCCAGTTGGTCATCAATATGCTTTGAGAATTGTGGATGAATTGGAGTTTGTTAACAACTAGGGCAGGTTTTTYTGTCTTTTTGATTTTAATATTGCAGTGATTTTTCGGGATAAGGGCTTTTTTTGGAGATATCATATGTTGTTTTATTCCCGGTAGTTCATTTGTTTTTGTTTTGTTTTNGCATGATGCTTAACTAAGCTTAAAAGAACAGATTTACGTTTTTTAATGCAACAAAAGAAAGTTTTGGGAGAGGAAAACCAGCGTACCTAGAATAAAACCCAAGATGCTAGAGAGAGAATTGTCTTACAATTTCAAATCGCGTATAGCTCACGGACAGAGATCGAACCAGGACCACAGCGGTCAAAGCCTCGACGCGCTATAGCTTCCACACTAGTCGCGCATTTTTAAAATAAATTAGAGTCCCCATTCGCTGTCTSGCAGCGATTAAGTTATTGGAGACCGAGATGTGATCTTGGGATGTAAGTGTAGCGAGAGGACGTTGTGAGAACATTACATTCTTTCTAGAAGAGGTCGGTCTTTTTTAATCCCTTCTTAAATACGATTAGYCACCGCAAGACAATATGGAACCATTAAAAATGCTTGCAACGAAGGTCAAAATGAGATTATGTGGGGAATCGGAGTTTTACACAAAACAATTATATTGCCTCGAGTCGGTATTTCTCGAAGTTTTAAGTTCTGTATTCCGGCCTTTAATTATGGACGCCTCTCGAACACCTCCATATTACCGGCACCTCTATATTACGAACACTTCTAGATTAAGGGTACCTTTTGATTATAGACACCTCTAGATTACGGACAAAATCAGACATATTCAGCCTCTTGTTTTTATAATACTGCAGTGCCAAAGAAACAAAACAAATAGAAAACAAAATTACCAAATCGCAACAAAATGACCTTCGTAAATAAACGGCGCGCATTTTTCCTTGAAACGCACAAGTTCAACTTAGTTAGCAAGTCAAATTTATAATATTTATATATCATATTACACATTCAATGAATTTTCACATAACATACATTTCCGTCATTCCAAAACGAATTAAATTAAAGCAACAGTTTTTCCCAATCAAAGAATTCTTATTTATCTAATTATAGTCTATTTTTTTTATTCTATCCCACTATTTTTCCAGAAAAAAAACTTTCAAAACGCTCAAAAATGAGTGCAAGGTTAACCGCATCACTTCTAATCTAATGACTACTTCTTAATAAAATTAAGAATCAATGTTATAAACTTTTACTGGGCAAAATCTGGACATTTTTACCCAGGCAACCTTTGCGCGAGTGGAAGTGGCACGAGCGTCACCAACTTTCCCGCCCAAACCACAAGCAACCCAATTGATAATGGCGACCTTTTGACATTTCTTCGCCACAGAATTTATACATGCAAAAACTTTGCTTATAGAACATTCAATTTATCATATTAGCACTTCAAGTTTCTTATTTTATTCAGTATTAAGTTTTGCTAGCTAAAATATGTTATTTAATAAAAGTATATAATTAAAACTGACCTTAGCTTGGCAACACACAGCGACCATGTTCTTTAACGGGACGTGACCTTCTCGAACTCCAAGTATTTGACATCATAACGGTTGAACCAGGAAAGGCAGACGAGTGAATATAGCAATTCTGAATGAGTGAAGTCTTATTACGAAGCATGTCTTGTGTTTGCATCGTTTAAGATGGCAGCTAAAGGCGAATTAGTCGATGCAACGTTGAAATTTGAATTATTTCATCTGATTTACCGCTGAACATTTGTTAGCAGACTCACTAGTGATTGGTGTTGATTGAAGAGAGAAAGAGACGGTGAATGGGGGAAATAAAAAAAAATGTAATTATGTTTCGTGAGGGATTTTTGAAGCCTGAAAGCAGGGAAAGAGGATATACATGAGTTACAACAACAACAACGAAAGTATAGCAGAGAAAACTTTCTCACAGCAAATTTCAGTCGAAACTAAGCAGTCAAAACCAAAAAAACCATTGAAAAGATGAAAAAACTACTATCGACTTGTAGGAAGCCTGCGCATAGACAAGAAACAAAAGAAATCAAAAGAGCACAAAGCAATCTCGTGCCCAGCGCCCTTGTCCCTCTTACTGCGCATGGTCGACAGTGGTTCTGGGTACGAGATTGAGCACAAAGGAAAAGAAATGAGAAGAAAACAAAGAAAAGTGAGAAAACAAAAACTGGGAGAAAAAGAACTCAATAAAGAGACAAATATAAATGCTTTACATTATATTTTTGTCATTATCATAATGATTACAAAATATCTACTTTTGATAGCTGGACAAATATTATTTTAGTTTGTACCTAATCTATTTCCGTTTTATAAACGTGTATTTGTTTAATCGTTAAATTACTATATATGAATTAAAATGTTTTGACATAATACACTAGACCAGGTCTCGAGGGGATATAGCCCTTTCTTTGAGTCTGAATATAAATATAACAAGATATTTTCGAAACCRCCGAAACTTAATCTCGCACCCAGAGCCCGCACTATTGCCATCCAGCGGAAGTTAAGAAGTGTGGGCTCTGGGTACGAGATTGGCCGAAACCGCATTTAGATATTTTTGGTAACGCTTCTTTTCAAAGTGGATATTTTAGTTTCCAAAACGCGTCAATTTGAAAACGATGATCAATAAAAATAAAAATGTGAAATAAATAGCTGTCTAAAAAGCCTCAAAATATGCGGTTTCGAAAAATGTCCGGTTTGTGTTAGAGTTTCCCAAAGAATAAAGTTATCTCGCTATAAACTTATCTAGCAATAAACTATATCCTTATTTATTTATAAGACAGATTTCACGTTCCACACTTTTATAT